TCATCAGAGTGAAATTAATGAAATGACAGATACAAAATGCAGAATCTGGATGTCAAGGAAGATCATCAAGATTCAGGAGACAGTTTAGGAGATATTTTAGGATATAATCCATAAAAATTTTTCTAATGTCATTAGAGAGGCTGACATGCAAATTCAAAGAAATAGAGAGCTCTGGCAAGACTTTATACAAGAAAACCATTCCTGAAAAACATAGTCATCAGATGCGCCAAATTCAATGCTAAAAACAAATCTTAAAGACAACTAGAAAGAAATGTCAAATAATGTACAAAAGAAACATGATCAGGCTAGCAATGGACCTCTCAGCAGAAATCTTACAAGCCAGAAGAGATTGGAGTCCTATTTTCTGAATCATTAAATAAAAAAAAATTTCAACAAAGATTTTGATATCCCATTAATCTAAGCTTCATAAGTGAAAAAGAAATAATATTTTTTTCTCAAAGAAGCAAATTCTGATGGAATTTGTTACAACTAGGTCAGTCTTACAAGAGGTCCTTAAAGGAGTACTAAACATAAAACTAAAAAAAAATGACACCTGCTACCACAAAAACACTGTTAGGCATGTAGAAGACAGGCACTATAAGCAAGCAGGTCTACATAACAACCTGGTAATGACACAACGATGAAACCAAAATCAACAACCAATACTAATCTTGAAGGCAAATGGGCTGAACACCTCACTTAGAATTGAAATATATATACACCCAAGATTAGAACAACCAGATTCATAAAATTTGTCCTCCTTGACCTACAAAGAGATTTAACTTTGCAATAATAGTGGGAGACTATTTGCAGACAGGCATTATATGCAAGCAAGTCTACATAACAACAAGGTTAACAGCAAAATGACAGAATCAAAATCACACATACCAATACTAAACTTGAACATAAACGGGCTAAACACCCCACTCAAAAGGCATAGAATGTCATGATGGATAAAAATACAAAAGCCATCTGTCCACTGTCTTTAAGAGACCCAGTGTACACATAACAACACACACAGCCTCAAAATAAAATAGAGAAAAATGTATATGTAAATGAAAATAAAAAAGGACAGGAGCCACTATTTTTACATCAGATACAACAGAATTTAAACCAACAACAATTAAGAAGAGGAAGAAGCTGATTACTAATAATAAAGGGTTCAATTACAAAAGAATACTTAATTATCCTAAATATATATGAACTCAATATTGAAACATCCAGATTCATAAAATAAGTCCCTATTAACCTATAAAGAGATATAGCTTCACAATAATAGTGGGAGACTTAAAACCTTCCAGACAGTATTAGACAGATTATCAATGGTGAAAACTAACAAAGAAATTATGGACTAAACTTGACATTCAACCAATTGGACCTAATAGACATATACAGAATACTATACCTGGGAACCACAAAATACACTTTCTTCTCATATTCCCATGGTACATATTCTGCTATCATGTTTGGTCATAAAAGTAAGTCTCAGTAAATTAAAAAAAAAAAAATCATGCCCAGCATCTTCTTGGACCACACTGCCTTAAAAATAAAGTCAGTATCAAGAAGATCTCTTTAAAATATACAAATTTATGAAAATTTTTAAACCTGCCCTAAATAACTCTGGGATGAACTATGAAATGAGGGCAGGATCAAAAAATTCTTAGAAATTAATAAAAATAGAAACATAGCTTACCAAAATGTTTCAGATACAGCTAAAGCTATTAAAAGTTTATAGTGCTAATTGCCTTCATGAGAAAGTTAGAAAGATGTCAAATGAACAGTCTAACACTGCACCTAGAAGAACTAGAAAAAAAAAACAACTCCACCCCAAAGCTAGCAGAAGGAAAGAAATAACTAAAATTAGATGAGAACTGAAGAAAACTGTCATGTAAAAAATCCATAAAAAAGATCAACAAAACCAAGAGGTGGGTGTTCAAAAGATTAAACAAGATTGATAAACCTCTAGCTAACAAAGAAAAATAAAAAGATCCAAGTAAGTACAATTAGAAAAGACAAAGATGACATTATAATCGTCCACCAAATACAAAGAATCCTAAGAGATTATTATGAAAAACTCTATGCAAAGAAGTTAGAAAATCTAGAAGAAATATATAAATTCTTGGACACAAACATCCTCTCAGGATTAAATCAAGAAGAAAGTACAAACCTGGATAAACTAAAAAGTTACAAAATTGAATTGGGAATTAAAAAAAACCTACCAACCACAAAAATCCCCGAGCCAGATGAATTCTATCAACATACAAACAATGAGTACTAATCTTATTGAAACTATTTCACAAATTCAGGAAGGAGGGACTGCTCTCTAACTCATTCTATGAAACCAGTGTCAGCCTGATATCAAAATCTGGCAGAAACATAAGGAAAAAATGAAACTAGGCAAATAATCCTGATAAATATAGACATAAAACTCATCGGTGAATATCACACTGACTGTAGCAGCACATCAGAAAGTTAGTACACCATGATCAAGTAAGTAGGTTTTAATCCTAGGATACAAGGCTGGTTCAATATATGTAAATCACTAAATATGATTTCCTCCATACACAGAGTTTAAAGCAAAAACAATATGAACAACTCAATAGACAAAGAAAAATGTTTTAATAAATCCACTATCCCTTCATGATAAAAACCTTCAACAGACTAGGTATCAGAAGAATATACATAAAAATAATAAAGGCCATCTATGACAAACCCACAGCCAACATCACACTGAATGGGCAAATTCTGAAACCATTCCGCTTGAGAACTGAAACAAGATAAGGATGCCTACTCTCACAACTGATACTCAACTAAGTACTGAAAGGCCTATCCCAAGCAATTACGTCTCTCTCCAGTTCCAGCCATGTAAGACGTGTCTCCTCCCTGTCCATCATCTGCCATGATTGTAAGTTTCCTAAGGCTTCCCCATCCTTACTTTCTGTACATCCTGCAGAACTGTGAATCAATTATAGCAATGTGAAAACAGACTAACACACACGTATAACTCTCTGATCTTCAACAAAACTGACAAAATAAAGCAATGGGAAAAGAACTCCCTACTCAAATGGCTCCCTAGGAATAGTTGGCTAGCCATATGTAGAAGAATGAAACCGGACCCTAGCTTTCACTATATACAAAAATTAACTCAATAAGAATTTAAGGTTTAAATATAAGACATCAAACTATAAAAAATCCTATAAGAAAACTTAGGCAGCATCCTTCATAACATTGGCCTCAGCAAATAATTTTTGGATAAGTCTTCAAAAGCAATTACAGCAAAACCAAAAATTGAGAAGCTTCTGCACAGTAAAAGAATCCATCAAAAGAGTAAACAGACAACCTACAGATTTGGAGAACATATTCACAAACTATGAATTAAAGAAGGGTCTAATACTCAGAATCTAAGAAACTTATTTCAGCATGCAAGAAACAACCAAATTAAAAAATGAATAAATGACATCAACAGAAACTTCCATAAGGAAGACATACAAATTGCTAACCAAAAAAGTCCTCACCAAATATATGAAAAAATGTTCAGCAGTTCAGCATAACTAATCATCAGAGAAATGCAAATCAAAACCACAATGAGATGTCATCTAACACCAGTCAGAATGGCTATTGTTAAAAAGTCAAAAAATAACAGACAAAAATATTTTTTAAAAGATGAAAAATAATCTGCTGGCAAGGTTGCAGAGTAAAAGGAATGCATATACACCATTGGAAATGTGAATTAGTTCAATCCCCTGTGGAAGGCAGTTTGGAGAGTTCTCAAAAGAATTTTAAAAAGGGCTATCATTTGACCCAACAATTCCGTTCCCAGAGAAATATAATTCTTTCTATGGAAAAGACACATTCTCTCTTATGTTCATTGCAGTGCTCTTTAAAATAACATAACATAATATGTAATTAACATGGGTGCCTATTAAACATTGATTGGTGTGGTAAATATAGACAATGGAATACTATTTAGCCATTAAAAAAGAACAAACATAATACTCTTTGCAGAAATAAGGATGCAGCTGAAGGCCATTATTCTAAGTGAATTAACACACCACAGATTACCAAATATCTCATGTCCTTACTTATATGTGGGAGCTGAAGTCTGAGTATGCTTAGACATAATAACAGACACTGAAGACTACCAGTGGAGATGAGTAAAGAGGAGACCACTGGGTGGTAAAACTACATTTTGAGTGTTATAGTCACTACCTGGGTGATGTTATCTGTACCCCAAACCTTAGCATTATGCAATATACCCATGTAACATATTTGCATATGTACCCCTTGAATCTAAAATAAAAGATGAAACTATTTAAAAAACAAAACAAAAATCTGAACTAAATGAAGATAAAAATGCAACTTGTCAAAAGTTGTGGGATGCAGTTAAACCAATACTGAGAAGAAAATTTATAGCATTAAATGCGTGTATGAAATAAAAGATCTAAAATAAATAATCTAAGCTTCTAAATTAACAAGAGAAAGAATAGGAATATAAGTCTACAACCAGCAGAAGAAAATAAATAAATATTGCAGTAGTAATCAATGAATTTGAAAAGAGATCCATAGGTGAAGTCAATGAAACAAAAAGCTGATTATTAGAAAAGAGAAAAAATTTTGACATATCTTTGCTAACCAAGTGAAAAAAAAAAGCACAAATTACTAATATCACAATTTAAAAAGCAATCAGCATTTTAATGCAATGACATAAAAAGCACAATGAAGAATATTATGAACAATTTTATGCCCTTACACTTGATAACTAAAAGAGACTGATATTTTGCAAGACACAAAGTACCAAAACTCATACAAAGATATATAATCTTACAAAGGATAAATACACAGAATGATAGTTAATCTGAATAAGAATGTATCTATTCATTAAATCAAATCAATTAATAGTAAACTTGTACAAAATAGAGCTCCAGACCCGAATAATTTTACTTGTGAATTCGAACAAGCATTTAAAAATAAATAATTCTGCCTGGTGTGGTGGCTCATACCTGTAATTCCAGCACTTCAGAAGGCCAGGGCAGGAGGATCCCTTGAACTCAGGAGTTCAAGACAAGGCTGGGCAACATAGCAAGACCTCATCTCTAAAATAAAGTAAAATGAATCATCCCAGTTATCTTCACACTTTATCAGAAAATAAAAAGAAAGGAAACATACTGTCACTCACTCTATGAAGATTTCATCAGCCCACCCAATGCCCAAATCAAAGACTTTACAGAAATAAAAAATTATAAACCAACATTTCTCATTAACATAGATGCAACAATTCTTAAAAATATTTGCAAATAGAATCCAGCAATGTACAAAAATGATCATACACTACAACCAAGCAGGATATACTCCACCTGTGCAAAGCTATCGTATCAGTCATAAATCAATTAATGTTATCGATCATATCAGCAAGCTAAATAAGAAAAAAATATAATAATATCAACACAGAAACAGCAATTAACAAACTCGAAGCCCATTTATAAGAAAAGAAATCCTCAGCCAATTAGGAATAAAGAGAACTTCTAATACTTGATTATAAACATCTACAAAAACAAAACAAAACTAACTACTGCTATGGTCATACTTAATGGTTAGAAACTAGGTGCCCTTCCCTTGAGAATGGGAGCAAAAAGTATGTTCTCTCTAACCACTCCATTCAACGGCCTTCTGGAAATTCTAGCTAATGTGATGAGACAAATAAAGAAAATAAAAGTTACACATATTGGGAAATAAAAAAGTATAAAGCTACCAGTGTTCATAGATGATATGTTTACCTATGTAGAAATCCCAATAAATCACAAACAAAAGCAATGACAAATGTGGCACTAATGAGAGTTTATAGCAGGATTCCAGAACACAAGGTTGATATAAAAAATAAAGTTGTTTTCTTATATATAAGAATTGAAGATTAGATATTGATACGGTTTGGCTGTATCCCCACCCAAATCTCAAATTTCATCTTTAACTGTAGCTCCCATAATTCCCACATGTTGTGGAGAGACCCAGTAGGAGACAGTTGACTCATGGGGCAGTTTCTCCCATACAGTTATGATAGTAAGTATCACAAGATCCGATGTTTTTATTAGGGGTTTCCACTTTCCCTTGGCTCTCATTTTCCCTTTGCCTGCTGCCATGTCAGACATTCCTTTTGCCTTCCACCATGATTGTGACGCCACCACAGCCACATGGAACTGTGAGTCCATTACATCTCTTTTTCCTTATAAATTACCCAGTCTTGGATATGTCTTTATCAGCAGCATGAGAATGGACTAATACAGATATCAAAGTTAAAACACATGGTAATTTATCACCAAAAAAGAGTGAAATATGTAGTTAATTCTAATAAGATATACATATACATATATATGATCTATATATACATATATATGATCTATATATATATATATGATCTATATGAGAAATGAAAAGCTGAATAAATAAATGATAAAATAAATAAATGGAGAAACATGTCATGCTCATGTATAGGCAGACTCAATATTGTTGAAATGTCAAGTTTCTCCTAATTTGATCTGTATATTCATTGTAATCTTATTTAAAATCTTTGCAAGTTACTTTGTAAACATTGATAAACTGATTCTAAAGTTTTCATAGAAAGAGAAAAGATCCAAAAGAACCAATACAATAACAAAGAAGTCCAAAGACCAAAACTATTCAACTTAAAGACTTAATATATTGTTGCAGTATAAACATATAATAACCAAGACTGCAGAATCTTAGCAAAATAGTAGAAAAGTAGACTAATAGAAGAGAATAAAGGAAAATGGATGCATGCAAATACAGTCAACTGATCTTTGGTAAAGGAGCAAAGGCAAGTCAATGAAGAAAGGATAGTTATTTGAATAAAGTGCTGGAACAAGCATCCCTGTGCAAAAAGAAAAAGAAAAAAAATTATTTAGACTCAGATCACAGAACTTTCACAAAACTTAACTGAAAGCAAATCACAGGTCTAAATGTAAAAATGCAAACTTGATATAGATTTACAAAAGATTACATAGTAGAAAATCTCAGATTTCTGTTTATTACGTTTTAGATACAATGCTATAGGCATCATCCATAAAAGATAAAAATGATCAGTTGAACTTTTATTAAAATTATTAAAATTAAACATTTCTGCTCTGTTAAAGACACTGTTAAGAGAATGTAGATATGAGCTACAAACATAGAGGAAATGTTTGTGACACACATACTGAAAAATACTTTTAAATATACAAAATTTTCTTGAAATGTAACCATAAAACACAAACAACCCAATAAAAAAATGGGAAAAATATCTGAACAAACTCTTTACCAAAGAAGACATTCATATGACAAATGAGTATATATTTTCAAAAGTTCAACGATATGTGTTACTAGGAAATTACAAGCTGAAGCACAAATCAGATGTTACTAAACATCTCTAAGAAATCTAAAATTAAAGTAAGAAAAAAACTGACAATGCAATTGTAGAGAAATAGGCAGATCAACAGGAGCTCTAATTCCTTTCTAGTGGGAATGTAAAATGGTGTAGACAATTTGGAATATTTGGTAAGAAATGTCTTTAAAAATAAACATAGTCTTACCATGCAATACAGCAATCAATCTGCCTGGCATTTACTCAACTGATATTAAAACATAAGTCCACAAGAAAATGTTCACTTTAATATTTATAGCAGACTTATCTGTAATGGCAAAAAATTAGAAACAACAAATATAACTTTCAATGAGTGAATGGATAAACACATTGTGCTACAGTCAGACAATGAAATATTATTGAGCAATAAAAAAAACAAAAGAGCTATCAACCCCCCAAAATATGAAGAAAACATAAATTCATATTGCTAGTGAAAGAAGCCAGTTTGAAAAGGCTACATACTGTATTAAGTGTGTGACATCATGGAAAAGACAAAATTATGTCAATTAAGAAAATATTAGTGGATTTCAGAGGTCTGAAAAGAGTGGGGGAAGCAAGACTGAATAAAGCACAGAGGATATCCGGGTGGTGAAACTATTTGTATAATACTAAAATTATGGATATATAACATTATTCACATGTTAAAACCATAGAACTATTTCACAAGACTGTGAACTTCAATGTAAACTATGAATTTTTATTGCCAATAATGCATCAGTATTGTGTCATTATCTGAAGATAGTAATAGCAGAAACGTGTGTATGTGTGCACACATGCATGTTTGAGGGAGAAGTGTGAAAAAACTGTACTATCTGCTCGAATTTTTTTTTACGAGAATTGTTTAACAAACTAAAAAAGAAGTATACAATGATTACAGGCTGTTAAAAATTGTACCAACCCTCCTTTTCTTGGCAGGGACCAAGCTTGTGGTCCTGCTCCCTGTAATGTACAGAGGAAGAGGGAAAGGGCTCTGCCCCTCCTCATCAGTCTTCGGTGCCGGTGGCTTCCCATCCTCTGGTTCTATCCTCAAGCGCCAAGACATAGGAAAAGAAGGAAAGAAAAAAAAGAAAAGAAAAACAATTGTACCACAGAACTGGATTTTATATCATGGAGAATAAAATGATGATGATTTACTCTATATAACAGCCTCCAATCATTGTATATAGGATATCTGGGGTCAATTTTTAGGATATTAGATTTTCCAACAGTTAAGGAGTGATTCATATGCATAAGACAGAATGTGTAACTTGTCAGATCAACAGGGTATCAGATTTTTCCATGGAAGATGCAGTGGTTAGTAGGTAAGTAGAATGTAAATATACTGGACCAAGATTTTTAAAAAATGGATAAAGAATCTAAATTAATGTAAAGAAAATAAATGTTAAACTTCAAGAAATGAATATTAATTGAGGATTTTAATAACAGTTGAACTTACAGTGTTATTATTTGAAGTATGAGAAGATGTAAGCTATGGGAAAGGTAAGGCCAAATTTCGTATGCTGTGCTAAAGATTTGTGACTTTATCCTGTACTGGGAGACAAGTCTATGTGCAGCTTTTGCATTCCATTACATCTTACAAGAGAAATCACTCGTTGCTTTTGTTCTACATTGTGTTCCAAGTATGTATACAGAAGAATAGTGGCTACCAAAAAGATAGAAGATACAGTCAGAGAGGGGTGAAATACAGGAGATACGGTAGGAAAAGCGACAAAGAAAAAAATAGTAAGTTTTTCAAAGTAGATTATTAACAGTGACAAATGCTTTATAGATCAAGTAGCTTGATAACTAAGTGAGCCAAACCATTTCAGTAATTAGGAAATCACTAGTGGTCAGAGTCATTTCAGTGGTAACTGGATTGAAGTAGGTTGAGAAGTAAGTTTGGAGTGAAAAACAGAAGGCAGTACAAACTGAGGGAATGTATTCTCTTCCCGGGTCCACAAGGGGGCGTAGTTTCCAGAGCAGGAACTTCGCAGTGACATGCCCTACCTGCCTTCTCCCAAGTCTCCATCCAGGAGACTTAAGGGTGTTTGTTTAACTTTGGCACGCACAGGGAAGGATCAAAGGTCAATCACTCCAGAGGAAGTTTAAAGGAACTCCTTTCATAGGCCCGGGGCTTAGAGAAGGTGGGAATTCCTCCCAGGTTAAAAGTCTTCTTCTTGAACACCCCCTTGCATCCCATACTTGGGTACCCTTCCACTAGCTTTGTGGAAGGTTTCTCTTTCTCATCTTTTTCTCTCTCCTTTTTCTCTTTCTCTGCCTAAATAAATCACTTTCGGCAAAAAGTTTTTGGAGTCAGATATTTACTTATGAGCACACCACACCCGGCGTGGTCCCCTCTCCCATTCTTGGGTGAATGAGAGATCAAGAGCCTGGAGTCCACTGGAGAGGGCAAGCTAAACCTCCCCTGCACCCCAAAACCCAGAAAGAAAACAATTAGAGCAATGCTTAAATAAAATTAGATAGGCTGGTCATTAAAGAAGGACCCATGTTGGAGGCAAATTTGTTTTAAGATGAAAAAAACTAGATCATGACTTTACGCTACGGCAAGAAAACCTTGAGAAATTTGGAAATTTATGACAGGAGATAATCAGTGGGTCAATACTTTGCAGAGATCGAGTTTTCTGAAACTGGAAGGAAGAAAAAGTGGACATAAGTACAGAGTACAAGATATGTGGGTGTTTTCACAATGAAATTGAGGAATTCTAGATGTAGAAACTAAGTTCAGCTAACAGGAGAACTAGGATAATATCAGATGGGAAACTTGAGGACTATGTTGTGAAAAGATGTCTTGTGGTTTTGTGGTAAAGCTAAGTCACAATGATCCATGGCAATGATTTAAAACATTTTGTCCTTTGTATTCCAAAGACTCCCTGACTTGGCATTCATATTAGGGCAGTGGAGGAATAATCTAAAATATTCATTAAGGCTATTAAAGAATATTCTTATGCAGGAAGAAAAGAGAAATCAACATTAAGACTATTTCCTTAATCTCTTTTCTAACGCCAGTATTTTATAAATACATAAAAACCTGTAGAAGAGTAAGAAAGGGTAACCACTTCTGAGAAAGTAGGCCCTGAAGGCACACATTTTTGATAAGTCCAGTTAATTGCCTAGAAGCTCCTCCAGGCCAAGAGCAATCAATCAGTGAACATTTGTGTAGAGATGGCAGTGCCAATTCCCTTTGGTTATAAAACTTTTATTGGAATTGATTTAAATCTCTTTTCAGCTAAAAGCATGTATGATTTACCTGGATTACTCTTTATATTATAGTTCTGTGTACTTTTCAGGTCTGTGTTCACTACTGAATTGTATCTACCTTAAGGCAAAGAGTAAGTGTTACTCATTCTTTCCTTTAGTCCGGAGCCATTCTCTCTCTATATATAAAATGCATGCTCAGTGCCTAAAATTATATACACATTAGTTTTAAAAAGTGTTTGCTAAAGAAAAAAAAAAAAGCATTGCACAAGGAAAAAGCACTCAATATTAAATAGTCATTATTTCTGCTTGAGAACAGAAAAGACAAAATTCCATTGAAGTGTGAGATTTAGTATAGGCCCTCCGGTAATCTACTTTCCACTTTCTAAAATAATTGAGATGAATCTAAGAGAAAGATCCTAAAGTGGCCCTGAAGGAGTTACAGCTTTGCCCTCTTTACAATGAAATACTGCAGTTTTTAGCCAATATGGCATATACTACATGGAATGTATATAGAATTAAACATTCCTATACTTGTCCTACAAGTCCATCATCATCTGAAACAAACAATAAAATAGCTGAAATACAGTTCGTATGAGATATCAATGATCCTGCCTTTTTGAGCTATTGCAAGTAATTAATGACATTATCTCTTCAATGCTTTTTGTACGGTTTCTCACAATTCTGGAGGCTGGACATTCAAAAGCGATGCACGGTGCTGGTAGTTTTGTTTTTCCTGAGGCTTCTCTCCCTGGCTTGCAGATGGCTGCCTTCTCCCTCTGTCTTTAAATGCGTGTGTGTATGTGTGTGTGTGCGCGCGTGCGCGCGTGTGCACTCCTTGTGCCTCTATCTTCTTATGAGGGCACTGTGATTAAGGACTCCACTCTAAGGTCCACAGGGTAATTTAATCACTTCTTTGATGACCTTATCTCTAAATAGTCACATAGATTAGTGCTCACCCTTATGACCTCATTTAGTCTTAATTACCTCTTTAAAGGCCTTATCTCCAAATATAGTTACAATTCTAGGTACCAGGAGTTGACACTTTATGGATTTCGGAGGACCGTGTTTTTATTTTTATAAGATTAAATTACATATTATTTAAATATAATACTAAAATAATGATAATTTTATTATTCAAATAGCTTAGCAAAATTGGCATTCTTTTTTTATAGTCAGGTGATAAACTTCTAGAGTTTTCTTTAAATAGCAAGTTATTTGATTGTATATTCTTTTGTAAGAAATTACCTTGAAACTTAATGACTTGAAATCAAACTTGTTTTCTTCACAATTTTGCATTTCAGGAACGTGAGAACAGTTTGGCTCAGCAGATACTCTTTGGTCCACGTTGAGTCAGTTGTTACTGGCCTGGCCTGAAGGGTTAACTTCTAGGAGAGCTGTTGTGGCCGGGCGCGGTGACTCACGCCTGTAATCCCAGCACTTTGGGAGGCAGAGGCGGGCGGATGAGAGGTCAAGAAATCGAGACCATCCTGGCAAACATGGTGAAACCCCGTCTCTACTAAAAAAATAGAAAAATTAGCTGGGCACGGTGGCGCGCGCCTGTAGTCCCAGCTACTACGGAGGCTGAGGCAGGACAATTGCTTGAACCCGGGAAGCGGAGGTTGCAGTGAGCCGGATGGCGCTACTGCACTCCAGCCTGGCGCCTAGCGACAGAGCGAGACTCTGTCTCAAAAAAAAAAAAGAGCTGTTGAATACATAACCAGTCCCTTTGACCACTCTCTCTAAACCTCTCCAAGGATGTTTCAACCTCCAGGGTCTTTTCACGTGACCTGAATTTTTTTCCAGTTCAGCAGCAGCGTGTCAAAGAGCCGGTGCAGGCACCTCGAGATGCCGGGCCCACTGCAGCAGCCCTGGTTCCTTGCTGTGCACGGTAGGCGACTCCGCGATTGCTCTCCCACACTCCCCTCGCCGCTCTGCGCCTGGCTCGTCCTCAGCAGGTATGGGATCCAGGCCAGCAGCGGGAGCCGAAGACAGCCTGTCGGGCCAGCCGAGTGTGTGGAACAAACCCAGTGGGTGAGAGCAATGCTCAGGCAGAAGGTGCCGCCAGCCACGTAGGTTTCAGCTGTGAAGCAAAACCCCAAGGATCCTGTTACATTACCAAACATTATATTTTTACCAGCAAAATTTAATCGTAAATCCATGTCCGCAGAATATCCCATATGATGTCCCACAAAATAAACAGCCACAGCCCCTGCCTTCTGGAATTTTACAATACAGAGCAGAAAACAGACTGCTACAAAGGCATTAAGTAAAAACCAAAGCACTGAATGATTATATTCAGTGCCAGAAAATGAAATCATGCATGACTTGCATGTCTTAATTACATTTTTATCAAACTTTAACTGACAAGTAGTAATAACCGTTCATCTCAAGTATAAATTTAACATATATTTTATTTATCGCTGTAGTACAAAGGCTAGCAATCTACAAAGTGCTCATACTCCACAAAGCATGAGAGAAACCACAGGCTAGATAATAATTGAAATTATGGATTGGCTTTGTATGAGTAATTTTTGTGTGTGTGAGACGGAGTCTTGCTCTATCACCAGGCTAGAGTGCAGTGGCGCAATCTCGGCTCACTGCAAGCTCTGCCTCCTGGGTTCAAGCAATTCTTCCTCCTTAGCCTCCCGAGTAGCTGGGACCACAGGCGCGTGCCACCACGCCCGGTTAATTTTTTTTTTTTTTTTTTTTTTAGTAGAGACGGGGTTTCACCGTGTTGGCCCGATGGTCTCAATCTCTTGACCTCGTGATCCGCCCGCCTCTGCCTTCCAAAGTGCTGGTATTACAGGCGTGAGCCACTGCACCCTGCCCTGTATGAGTAATATTTTTATGTATCATTTTCTTAGTTGTTAAAATACAGAAATGTTGATGTGGGCATTGAAAACTTGATAACACTTCATTTTGCATAGTGCAACTTGATCAAGTGTGGAATAAATATATTTTGGAGGGAATAAATACGTATATCAGTCCTGTATCATAGATGTGTTTTGCAGATATTCTCCCAGTCTTTTCATTTTCTTAAATATTGCTTTTATTTCAATTTAATTATGAAAGAATTTTTTTTGGGTTTTTTTTAAGGTAAGATACTGATTTCCATAATTTATAATCTTTAATAATTTAGAGACAGCTAGCTTAAGTGTCAAGCAAAGTTAATTTTAGAAAGGCCAAACAATTCTTATTTTAGCATATATTCAAAATAACAGAATGGAAATATTCCTATTTATTGGTGTCATATACAACGCAGAAAATTTCTAAATCTCATTTCCATAAGAAATGCACATACACAAATAGATCTATCTCACATGACTTTAGAATTCCTCTACCCTATGCCAGAGATCACAGTTTTAAAGTACTTTTTCTCATATGATATGCTTATATAATAACAGAATATCTAAAATTTTTTTAAAAGCCTACCATACATATGTGAGTTTTGTCTTCTAAAGGGAAAAACAATTGAATAACTGTCTGGATTGCTTGTTTTGACATCATGTCTACAAATTTCTCTATTTTTATCTGACGATTTTAAATTGATTAAAATTGTTTTTCTGTAGAGAAATATACCCCTTTTGTCATTAATTCTCTGCCTGAGTATTGCAATTTTGTTTTAGTTTGTAATAGTGACATCTGATATATAGAAATGGGTTATTCAGTACTAAAATTGCTTTTAAATAAAGTAGATATTGTAATAACAGTATGGAAAATATTTTTTTATCTGTAATAGAAAAAGTTCCATTGATTTAATTACATATTCCAAGTACAAATGTATATTTTTCAAAAAAATATGTTTTAAAGTTCTTATATAAATACATAAAAATATGTTTTAAAGTTCTTATATAAATGCAATATTAGTCAACAAGAAATGATAGCTAAATATGATACAGATAATCATTAATGTGTATAACCTACTCGACAAACTGCCAGTCACAAGCCAACTAGTGTGGTAGGATTTTTCCTTTTTTCTTCCTTTTTAAATATTATATTTGAAATGCTGTAGTCATATGGAAAAAAAAACAAATGGCATGATGAAACTTCACGTACCCAAGTGTTATCAACCCACTGCCAAACTTCTCCAGGTGTCATCCCAACCATTTCCTACCGTCCCCATTTTAGCACCAGATATTTTAACACAGAGTCTCAATAACATATCTTATATTAAAGGCAATATCGTATCTCCTTTAAAACATATATGCATTGCTTTTAAATCCTTAATATTATTAAATAGCCAGTGTTCATATTTACTTGAATACTATGTAAATTTTTCAGTTCCTGATTTTTTAGTTTCACTAAGTCATAAAGATATGAATTTTTACTTTCTGAGATCTTCCTACTTTTATCAGAATCTGGCTTTGTCATTGGGTTTATTGTCCCTGTTTTGTTCCGTTTGCATTTCACTTTCAGCAGTTTCTATTTAGTGCATAGTTTTATCCTCCAATGGTGCTTAGATTAGTTATTTAGATTCTGAGACAGCTCAATTCCTGAAGACTTCCTATAATTCCCGGACACTCAATGTATATTTTAGCCTATGATACTCTTGTTTAATCCCTGATGATGTTCTTAGATTTTCTGCAGTATGTGTTCGTAATATGTGGGCTTCCTGGATCCAAAGATTATGACATGTTTCTTTCCTCATTCTCTTTAGTGCAAACTCTTATATCAAGAGATTCCTAAGACCTGGTAGCTGCTTCTTACCCATGGTTAAGACTGTGGTGGCTGGTTCTTACCCATTCATATTTTGAGGTTTATGCAAATATATTATTTTGCAATGTATTCGTTTCCTATGGTCACCGTAGTAAGTCTCCATCGCAAATTAATCTCTTCTAGTCTGGAGTTCAGAAATCCAAAATCATTTCAGCTGGGCTAAAATGTAAAGATGTCAGCTGGGATGTGTCCTCCTGGAGGCTCGGGGGTAGAACCTGTTTCTTTTCCTTCTGTTGTTTTCCTTGCCCTTCTGTAGGCTGCCTGCATTTCTTAAACTCATGATCTGTTTCTCACAAAACAGCAATATTTGGTCTCTTTGGTACATTTCCCATTTCTCAAATCTCCCCTGCTGAACTGTTATAAAGTCACATGTGATTACATTTAGGACCTGTGACTGTAAATATTGAATGTCAACTTGATTTGATTGAAGGATGCAAGGTATTGGTCTTGGGTGTGTCTGTGAGGGTGTTGCCAAAGATTAACATCTGAGTCAGTGGGCTGAGGAAGGCAGACCCACCCTTGATCTGGAGGGTGCAATCTAGTCAGATGCCAGCAAATATAAAGCAGGCAGAAAAATGTGAAAAGGCGACAGTGGCCTAGCTTCCAGCCTACATCTGTCTCCTGTGCTGGATTTTTCCTGCCCTCAAATATCAGACTCCAGTTTCTTCAGTTTTGAGACTTCTCTGGGCTCTCCTTGCTTCCCAAGCTTGCAGACAGCCTATTGTGGGACCTTGAGATTGTGTATCATTGTGTCAGTTAATGCTTAATAGGCTATATATATATATAGCCTACTAAGGATATATATATCTATAGCCTATTAAGGATATATAAGTTCTGACCCTATATAAGTTCTGTCCCTCTAGGGAACCCTGACTAATACAGATTTTGGTACCAGGAATAGTTCCAGAGGTACAGAATATTAAGGATGGAGTTTTTTCATTGGTTTTGGCATTTCTGGAATTGGCTGCTTAATACGACTAGACCCCCAAATGCTAAGCACTGTCCTAATAGTATAGGGAACACTGATAGTCCTTGGCATGAACTGTTTAGAGAGTTATGCAAAAAAAAAGTTTTGAAATCATGAAGTGTGCTTCCTCTTATGTTATTCTTTTTCACCAGTGGTTTGGCATTTTTTTTTTTTTTTTTTTTTTTTTTTTTGAGACGGAGTTTCGCTCTTGTTACCCAGGCTGGAGTGCAATGGCGCGATCTCGGCTCACCGCAACCTCCGCCTTCTGGGTTCAGGCAATTTTCCTGCCTCAGCCTCCCGAGTAGCTGGGATTACAGGCACACGCCCCATGCCCAGCTATTTTTTTTTTTTTTTTTTTTTTTTTTTTGTATTTTTAGTAGAGACGGGGTTTCATCATTTGACCAGATGGTCTCGATCTCTCGACCTCGTGATCCACCCATCTTGGCCTCCCAAAGTGCTGGGATTACAGGCTTGAGCCACCGCACCCGGACGGTTTGGCATTTTTTACATAAAACTAAGCCCAGTTTATGAATTTCTGCAAAATCTTTGATTTAAAGTGAAAGATATACTACTCTTCCTTTCACTTGAACACTTAGATGCAATTATAGTTTAAATAATTGGCCAAATTTCAGTATTTTTTATCTCAAGAAATAAAGAGGCCCCAGGAGAAGAAGACAGACTGGGGTGATGCGGCGGGTGATGGGGGGGGTGCACGGAGGCCAATGAGCAGGAGTCAACACACACAACATTTGTCAATAAAATTCTCCCTCTTATATGTGTATAGTTTTTGGTGCCCCAAAATGATTACAATCGAAGCACTAAAGATCATTGATTACGGATTGT